GAGTGCTTAGATGTAACAAATATCATCCAATTTTACACTCAAATGTATAGAAATTTCCTTCGGCTCTCTAGCTAGATGCTCTTTATTCTCCTTTATAATCATTATTCTCTGACACAGAGAATAGAAGTTTGTGTCAGAGTATAGAAGAGATTCATATAATGTATTTGTAGTGCTTACCAAAAGCTAAAGTCAATATTTATTGTCCTATTTCAGTGTCAAAAAGGATTCATCTTGTCTTCTACTCAAGGGCAAAGATAATCTGGTATAAACTCCACAACCTATTGACTATGATGTGAATATTACCTGGGGTTGGGGTTAACAGTGAGTTTAAGATTGCTAAGGATAAAGAGACATTCATTACAGGGGCAATGACCAAGGTACAAGAAGAGTACCTCATACTTGTATCTATTAATTGCAGATTTTATAAGGGAACATCAGATTGCACATCAATCATGGACTAACATTGTAAAATTATGTTTTCCATATGTTATTCCCCCATATTTTTTGTTGTTAACTTTTCCTAAATACATAAAACATTTTATTTAGTTCTGCATCATTGTTGCAGCAACTAAATAGAATAATGAACTGATTCAAAAAGAAAATCACTAAAAAGAAAACACTAATGTAAATCATATCAAATTCAGTATTTGTCTTCGAGATGGATTTTATAATTCTATTCTCCCAGTGATCTCATCAACACTAGAAATATATTTGTGAGTGAACGGGATACAAACTAAGTGTAGAGCCCTAATATATATAGTCAATGAAAGTTACAATAAGGATAAAAAGGTAAAACAGAAAAAACTTAAAAAATCCTAATAAACTAGGCTGCTGCTATATCTCAAATACTCTCCCTCAAAAAAATGTCAACCAAGTCAAGCTTGACAACGGAGTCCCGAAAAATAGATAAAGTGACAGGTTTGGTAAAAATATCTGCAACCTAATCACTAGTCCCCACAAATGATGGAGTGACAATACCACTGTTAACCTTCTCCCAAAGAAAATGAACATTGATCTATATATGCTTTGTCTTCTCATTTAATACAGAGTCTGAAGCAAGCTGAATAGCAGATCGATTATCACAATATAATGTAGATGAAGAAGTTAGTGGAAATTCCAACTCACTGAGAATCGATCGTAGTCATATAATCTCACATGTGCCAAGTGTCAATGCTCGATACTCTGTCTTTGCTGACGAACGAGAGACAACTGGCTATTTTTTGCTCTTTCAAGAGATAAGATGAGTCCCTCCAAAAGCACAGAAGTCAGTAGTAGATCGACCGTCATATGCTCCCCATAATTTGAATTTGAAAAATAGGCTAGAGAACCAGTCTGAGATCCTGATGCATAGAACATGATAAACTGGGTGACATGAACCAGTTTGAATTTGACTTGAGGTACAGAAGAATATGATAAACTGCATCAAGATGAGGCTGACATGGTCTGTGTATGAACTGACTAACTCGGCTGACAGCGAATGAAATGTCTGGCCTAGTGTTGGCTGGGTAAATATGTCTACCTACCAACCTCTGATAGATAGTCGAATCTCTCAACTCCTCATCTTCAGCAGTAAGCTTCAGGTTTGGAATTATGGGTGATGATGCCGGTTTGCACCCCAGCATCTCATTGTCTGAGAGAAGATCCAGAACATACTTTCTCTGAGAAAGAATAATACCTCTGCTGCTACGGGCAACCTCAATCCAAAAAAGTATCGCAAAAATCCAAGATCCTTCACATCGAAGCCCTTCCCAAGGTCTACCTTAACATGCGCAGTCCCAAAAACATCATCTCTAATAATAATAATATCATCAACATATACCAAAAGGATAACACACTGTCCAGAAGTATTCCGTCGAATGGAGCAGGTATGATCAGAATGACATCTGGTAAACCCTAAACGTACAACTACATTACTAAAACGAGAGAACCAGGCATGTGGTGACTGTTTCATTCCATAAAGAGACTTATACAGTTGACATACCTTTCCAGCATACTGCCCCCCCCACGAAAGTCCGGTGGTACATCCATATAAATAATCTCGTTCAGATCACCGTGAAGAAAGACATTCTTCACATTCAATTGATGAAGAGGTCAAGAGTACTCCGCAGCCAAAGAAATAACCAGTCGAACAGTAGTTAATTTTGCCATGGGGACAAAGGTAGCACCAAAATCACGACCTGGTACTTGAGTAAAGTCTTTCGCCACAGGCTTAGCCTTGTAATGATCAATAGTACCATCTGCAAGAAACTTCAGGGTGTAAACCCAATCATAGCTAACAGCTTCACCCCTGAAGGTAAAGAGACAAGATCCCACATATGATTATGTTGAAGAGCGTCATCTCTGTCTACATAGCAAGAACCCATTAGGCTCTCGTATAGCCTCTGAGACAGAGCGAGAAATTGGCATATTTGATAAGGCCATACTATAAGTCCGAAATGTAGGAGATTGATCACCATAAGAAACATAAGTGGAGATCGGGTATAAAGTCCTGGCAGTGCAACCATAATGAACAACTGGACAACAATCATATTGTGGATAACGACGCTCTAAATTATCATTTTTCACTGACAATGTCTCATCAGGTAAAACAACTGACTATGTACCTACAATCTCATTAGTACTAACAATAGGTGGTGCATCAATATGCTCAACGAACTGAGAAGTATTACCCGCATCGCCTGAAGTAGAGGGGATACCAGCAGGGGAATGAGAGCGTGGGCGACGAACATAAACCTGCAAAGGAAGAGAGACTGGTGATTCTGTACTGACAGGGATGAGTGGCTCTGAAGGAGGAGAGACTGATGACTTTGTTGTGATAGTGACCAATAACTCTGGCTCCGGGAGTATCATCAATTGGAGGGACAGACACAGGACTCGAAGAAAAATAAGGAATATGCTCAAGAAAGGTAACATCTAGACTGCGATATATACGGCGTCTAATAGGATCATAACACCGATACCTTTTAGACTGATGACAATAGCCCACAAAGACACAACAAATTATTTTATCATCAAGTTTATGACGAGTAGGAGACCGATCCTGAACAAAATATGTGCATCCAAAAACACGAGGGGGGACCGAAAAAAGTGTCCCCTCAGGAAATAAGACCTGTAAGGGAGCCCTATGCCGAAGAACACGACTCAGAGTACGATTGCACAGAAAGATAGAAGTTAAAATAGCAAAATGCCAATAAGATTTTGGCACCTCCTTGCCTCTAAGCATACAACGTACCATCCCTATCAGACTCTTATTTTTCCTTTCAACAACGCCATTCTGCTCAAGAGTATATGGACAAGTGAGTTGTTGAAGAATATCCTGAGAAGAAAGGTGAGACACTAAGGCATCAGACATATATTCTTTGGCGTTATCCAAACGAAGAGCACAAACAATGACATTGAATTGTGTCTTAATCATCTGTAGAAACTGAGTGATTATAGGGAGTACATCGGACTTCCTATGCAAAAGGTAAATCCAAGTACAACGGGTATGGTCATCTATAAATGTCACATAGTATCAAGTACCTGACAAAACAGTAACAGGAGATGGACCCCAAATATTAGAGTGTATTAGGTCAAATGGCTTGGGTGACTGGTGCATACGAGGAATATCACTGGTCCGAACATATTTTGATAGGGAACATATAGCACAGTCAAGTTTACCACCAACACAAGCATTGCTCAAAGTAGGAAATAACACACATAAATATTTAAAATTTATATGTCCAAAACGATCATGCCACAATTGAAAGTTCGTGATGAAAAATCATAACGACAAGTACTAGGCAAAATTCTAGTATGTAAGTTAGGAATAGGTAAAGACAAAGCAGGTGCACGTGATGGAGGTGCAGGAACTGGTAAAACTGGAGGTAAATCGACTAGATAATACAGTTCATCTCTCTCATGTCTCTTGATAATAATCCTCTTGGTACTTAGGTCTTGCAAATAACACGAATCAGATAAAAACACAACCGCATAATGAAAATCTATGGCTAACTGATGTACGGATAATAAATTCATAGCAAGTTTTGGTGCATAAAAAATTGAATGTAATGTAAAGCCATCTGGGAGGCGAACTGTACCCTTACTAACAATAGGGGCATATTTCTCATCTGCTAGCTGAACCTGTGTATGTAACTGCTCATCAAAACTGGTGAAGTGGTGGACCTCATCTGTCATATGACCATTTGCACCCGAGTCCAGCATCCAAAGGGGAGATGGACTAGCACAAGCATGAGAGGCACGACGTATACTTGTAGTGGTGGCAGTAATAGTAGTTGGACCCTGAGAAGTTAGGGCGGACAAAAGTATATCCAATCGAGAAATGATAACATCCATATCACTTTGCCAAAGAGGAGTAACAACAGAAGTACGGCTGCGAGGAAGCGGCTTAAGTTTCGAATAGAGCTTCTAACAAGTAACCTTGAGATGGCTAGGTCGACCACAATAATCACACGAACGAGAAACTGGACGTACATTCCAGTTGGAAGTACTAATAGCAGAGGTCTCAAATCCCTCAGTAGTAGCCATAACAATAACACTACGTGGGCACCTGTGACAGAAAAAAAAATTCTAAGAGAAATAGAGGGACAAAATAGAGGAGAACAATATATCTCCAGTTGAACAGTAGCGACAGATAAAAAAGATCCAGAAAGCTCCTAAATAATCAGGTCATGGTGCCCATAAATCTAATAAATATAAATAAATGATCTAATACATCAAGAGCAGATCAACGGAGAAGATGATTCAACCCCTCTTAAAAAAGTTCTAGATACTGAAACATGGTAGCACTGTGATGAAGAATGTGAAGGACGAAACCACAACAACAAATGTGACCCGACAGTGGGCTGATAAGTGGGTTGCATAGTGACCCAGCAGTGAGCAGTGGGCTAGGTTGGTCTGGGCTGTGGATTGGTGTGGGTTTATTGGGCTGAGTTGGGTTTGATTTATTAAACTACTGTTGAAAGTGTAGTGTAGTATTTTATGTCCAGAGTCTCGACTAGGGTCTCGGAGCTGATTTTGTGGCGGTCATCCGAAAATACTTGGAAGATCTTATTAATGCTGGGCTTAGACAACGGTTGATTTTGCTTATAAAGGAACTCAACCGAGAAGAACCAGTTGGTTTGGGTGGGTCTAACTGTGAGCGCTATGTTCTTGACTCAAGAGGTGCTCTTGTGGAACAACAAGCTGTGGTGGGTCTAAAGCTTACTGGACAATATGTTTGCTATGGGCAAGTTGATGTTATTTTGTCGGTGGGTATGTATTATTATAATTATTATTTTATTTTTGGTTTCGGTGGAGTGGGGGTAGTATATAGGTTTGTCAGTGGGAATTCTTTACAGGTTTGTTAGGCAGTTGGTGCAGTGGATTTGTTGTTTTGCTGGTTTTCTGGTCTAATTGACTGTCGGTGATGGGCAGTGGGCTGACAATCTCTGTCGGTGGTTGAGGAGGGAGCAGTCGGTGGTTGCTAGTCACGGTGATCTGGGCGGTCGGGGATTAGGGTTAGGGTTAGGGTTAGGGTTAGGGTTAGGGTTAGGGTTAGTGGCTTTGATACCAACTAGAAATATATTTGTGAGTGAACGGGATACAAACCAAGTATAGAGCTCCAGTATATATAGTCAATGAAAGTTACAATAAGGATAAAAAAGTAAAAACAGAAAAACTTAAAAAATCCTAATAAACTAAGTTGTTGTTATATCTCCAACATCAACAAAACAGAATAATAAGCAAAATCCAAAATTAAAACTCCCAAAATCAAACCAATCCAGAAATTTTGATATAATAATTTAATCACATGTAACAGTTACCTGGTCAGAGAGGGGGGGTGAAGCTCTTCTAGCGGTGGAGAGCTTGAAGAAGAAGGTTTGCTATGTAAAGTTATGAGATTTTTCGGGTTGGTACATGTAAAGTTAAATTTTGCACAAAGGGTATAAAATTAGAAGATGATAATGACTAAACACAAAAATTACGAGAAGAATTTGTTAACAAAAACTCATTACCTGATGAGCCAATGCAGTGATGGTTGTCTAATGCCAAGACACAAAAGCCAGCCAGAGTCTAACAGAGGGGCGAAGGGCGATGGTAAATAGGATTTCGAAGAATTTTTCGGACAAAGGAGGGCGATGGTAAATAGGGCTTCGGAGAATTTCTTAGAAGTTTTCTAGCTTTTTTTATTTTGCAAATTAATTGTTGGGATGTGAATAGCACAACTAGAGAAAATGGATGCCCAACTGAATATATAATGGCGAAGAGGTATTTCGATGATAACTGAATTATGTAATTGAATACCTGTAATTAAAGAAATTTGAGGAGAGAGAGACTGAGAAGGGGACGATGAAAGGGGGTCATGACGGTGTGATCTTGGAAGATAGAGAGACTGGGGGGAGGGGGAAGTGAGGAGAGGGAGCATGAGGGTTTGTTGTTGATCGGTCTGTGAATTCGTAGGAGAGAGATAGCTACTTTGATAGAGCAAATAGGGATAGAGAAGAGGGAGAGAGGGTAACTGCTAAGCAGTAAGGCCGTCTGTAAATTAGCAGGATAGAGATACGACAAATAGGGAGAGAGGGAGACTGGTTAAGCAATTCGAGCTGATGATGAATAGGCATTAACTCAGATGGATAAGGATAACATAGATTCAATGTTGGAGGAAAAAGTTGGAAAAAAATGTTTTTCATAAATACTGATTTTTTAAAGTAGTATAGATGAGCCTAATTAAATACAACAAAGCATGACCAAAACACACACTAACATTTTTTGACCCAATTACAAACACAACATTTTTAGCCCAAATGCAAAGTAACACAACAAAGTATTTATTTTAACACTCCCCCTTAATGCTTTGTTTTGTGACACCCAACATTTCCTGAAAGTATTGAAACTTGTTCTTCGAAAGTGTTTTGGTGAAGATGTCTGCCACTTGATCCTGCGTCTTGTAATACTTAAGTTGAGTCTCATCATCCTCCATGGCCTCCCGGATAAAGTGGTGCTTGATTGCAATGTGCTTAGTCGACTATAGTGGATGAGATTCTTTGTCATTGCTATCGCGGACTTGTTATCACGCAAAATTGGAGTAGACTCTCCTTGCTTCTCACCAACATCTTCTAAGATTCTCCTTAGCCATATTGCTAATGATGTCGCCAATGATGCCCAAATATATTTGGCCTCGGCAGATGATTGTGCTATCGTTTGTTGCTTCTTAGATGTCTATGAAAAGACACCCGAGCCAAGAGAAAATGCATAACTGGAAGTGCTCTTCATATAATCCACACACCAAGCCCAACCACTATCGCAAAATAGAATCAACTTTGCATCCACATTTTTTTCAAACAAAATCTCATAATCAATGGTACCTTAGATGTATCTCAAAACTCTTTTTGCCGCCCCAAAATGAGTTTGGTTTGGACTATGCATAAACTGAAATAATAAACTTGTAGTAAACATAATGTCTAGACATGTAGTTATCAAATATAACAAACTTCCAACCAAACTTCTATAAAGAGAAGCATCAACATCTTTACTTCCATTTTTTTTGTCAATTTTTTATTCACCACCAAAGGTGTAGCAATCGACTTGCAATTCTCCATTTTAAACTTTTTAAGGAGAGTTCTTGCATACTTTATTTGGGAAATAAAAACACCATCTTCATTTTGAAAAAATTCAAATCCCAAAAAGTATTGCAACAAACCCAAATCACTCATCTCATATTTTTTCATCATGTCCCTTTTAAATTCTTCAAGCATATTTTCATCATTTTCGGTAAAAACAAGATCATCAACACAGAGAAATAATAAGAATACCGATGTTACCCTGTTTTTTGGTGTACAAAGTTGGCTTGATTTTACTCCTTTGAAAGCCTTTATTGTTGAAGTAGGAATTGATCTTGCTATACCATGTTTGAGGTGCTTGTTTCAACCCATATAATGTCTTCTTCAATTTGTAAACTTTATTTTCTTTTTCTTTGACAACAAAGCCTTGAGGTTGATTCACAATCACCTTTTACTTCACGTCTCCATTTAAAAATGCAGACTTCACATCAAGTTGGCATAAGAATCATTCCTTTTGAGCCACCAAAGCAATAAGTGCTCTAATTGTGTCAAGCCGAGCTACCAGTGCAAATGTTTCTTGATAATCAACACCCGGTTGTTGAGAATACCCCTTTGTAACAAGCTTTGTTTTGTTTTTTTGAATTGATCCACTTCACACCAATCAGTTATTTTTCTTTGGGTATCTTCACTAACTTTCACATCTTGTTCTTTTCAATCAACCGGATCTCTTTTTTCATTGTTTTTTTTCCAAACTTCTAGTTTAATGCTTCTTCAAAGGTTCTCCGGTTCAACCACACAACAGTTATATTTGCATACACATTACTAAGACTTCTCATTTTTCTTGGAGATGAAGAAGTTAAGCTTAATGGAGTTGATTGTGGACTAACAATATGAGACATTTGATTTAAAACATCAAGATCCTCATCATCACTTTCTTCACTCTCCACCTCTGCATAAATAGGAGAAAAATGATTTTGCACCTTCTTTTTTGTCTAATCCCAAGAGGCTTTTTCATCGAAGATGACGTCTCTTAAAATGATTAACTTATCATTTTTCAATTTGTAGAGCCTATAGCCTTTTGATTGAGTGCTATAGCCCACAAAGATACATTTTTCACTAACTTCATCAAGTTTATGCATCTTTTCTTTGGGAACGTGTGCATAACAAATACACCCAAATACTTTCAAACATAGTTGTCAAATTGTGTATTGTATCGTATCGTATTGTGTATCGTAAGATACGCACAATTTTAATTTTTAAATAATTATTAATAAAATATATGTATATACATTTGTAAAAAAGTCATAGACTCATAATAACAAAGTATTTCATTAATATTCCACCAACTATTCAAGTTCCTAACATAGTTTAGTAATATCAATATGCAAAGACCTCTAATTCAAACTTCTAACATCAATTATTTTAACAACCTTAATATTAATTAGGAATTTTGAATTCAATTGAATAATATTAACAACATATTTTATTTATTTTTTATTAAACTATAACCACTGAAACGACGTTGTTTCACTAGTTAGTGATTTAAAAATAAGTCATAAGGTAAAATAATGTCATTTCAACCCGAAAAAATTAAAAAATAAAATCGTCATGTATCAAGCGTATCGTATCGTGTATCGTACGATATGGTGCAAAAATAATACAGAGGCACAATACGTATCATTTTTCAGGTGTATCTCGACGTATCGTACGATACGTATCGCGTATCGTACAATACTAATAATTATACTTTCAAGTGATTAACTGAGATCTTTTTTTTATTCCAAGTTTTAAATGGAGTTTTGTTTGAAATGGCTTTTGTTGGACATCTATTCAACATGTAAATTGTAGTGTTAATAGCCTCGCCCCAAAAAATTTTGGACAAACCGTTTTCATGAAGCATTGACTTAACATTTCTTCAATTTTCTATTTTTTCTCTCCACGACTCCATTTTGTTATGGAGTGAACCCAACGGTATATTGTCTTTCCATCCCAATATTTTCCCAAAATTTCATAAATTCATTAGAGTTATAATCACCACCTCTATCATTTCTTTACACTTTTATAAGGTGGTTATTTTTCCTTTCAACAGGACTTTGAAATTATTGAAAAACATTAAACACATCCGATTTTTGTCTCATAAAGTAAACTCATGTTATTCTAAAAAAACCATCAATGAAAGTAATGAAATACTTATTTATCTCCATGGGTCATTGTGTCCATAGGCCTGCACACATTGGTATGAACAAGCTCCAATGGTGCTTTAGCTCTTCATGCCTTGTCTTTTGGAAATGCCTCCCGGTGTTTTTTTCCAAGAGTACTGCCTTCACTAACTTCTTTAACTTCTTGAATCATTGGCAATCCATGCACCATGCCTTTTTGTTGTAGATACTTCCAACTTTGAAAATTCAAGTGCCCCAATCTTTTATGCCAAATCCAAGTCTCATCCAATACATTTTTCTTCAAATCAACATCTTTTGTATACCTCAAAGTGAACGGAAAGCTTCTATTTTTCTCCATCTTTATTGTTGCCATCATTTGTTTGCTCCCCCTTTTCTATAAATCTTACAAGTATCATCTTCAAAGTGAACTACATGCCCATCCTACACCATTTGACCAACACTCAACAAATTTTGCTCTATGTCCGGAACTAGTAAAACATCTCTTATGTATCTATAGGGGTGTCAAACATGTCGGGTTAAATGGATGACGGGT